AACAGAAGGAGTAAAGGTACGCACAAAGCAGCCAAAAGAATTTCACCAAGCCAAACAAACAACCCATAAACCCAGCAACCAATACTTCTCATAAACTAGAGATATACAGGCGAATCCAAAGCCGAACAAAACCAAACAAGAAACCAAGAATTCCCTAGCTCATCAGCGTTGAAAACATGGCCAAACAACCCAGAACTGAAGCGCCGAAGAAAAAGAAACCCCACCAACGAAGCGACAAAGAAGCCTTAGAAACCAATTGACGTGAAGTCAAACACGCCGCACCCAAGAGAAATCCAAAATATCAATCTAAACTATGAGACACAAGGATCTAACGTTGTTTCCCTGAGTATCAGAACTAGTCCACGGGAGAGCAACGCCCCAAGATGAAAACTCTTATTCTCATTAGTCGTTACAGGGTACAGAGAAGACTATTTATAGGCTTGCTAGTACAAGCCCTAACTACAAAAGGCGGCCGACATATATACATATTGGTACCTATATCTACATAAATCAACAGTGAGATGATACCATGTATTACATTTGAGCAAATTTTTTATGTATGTTATCATATCACTGTCACATCATGGTATTATACCATGATATTGGTAAGAAGATAATATATTGTCACCATAAATATCTGGTTTGAAGGGCTAAAGTTTTTGCTCAAAATATAATAAAACTAGTTAATAGCCCGCGCTCTGCGTCGGGATGAGTTATAGCATATGAAATAAGATAGTTTATTTGATGCCACAAATATAAGAGGTATTGCAAATTTTTGTACACATTTATAACACGAAACTGACGAAAGTATAAACCTTAATATTATCCAACTTGTCATAACTTCTCATAATAGCATCTGAAATTACAGATCATAGAAGCTTTCAATTGCCAAAAGGCCTTGGTTCAAATTTTAAGGCGTGAACTGTTCCAAATTATAACATAGATATATAAAAATAAACACTTGCACATGATGGAGCAAAGCTTCTGTGGCAACAACTCTATCGACTCACTTTGGTCATTGGAGCTCAAATATCCGAAGATATAATAAGTGCGCAATAATACAGTCCCATAAGTTTACGTGGCTTCTTTTCCTAGTTGAAATGCTTATCTTAGTTATCTATAAACACTACATAATATATAAAATTACATGGTTGAACACTCCCTTCCATATTTCCCAAGGCGCCTACCTTCCTCTCAGTAGATCAGTGCAACCAAAATTGGAGGGGGAAATCAGCTTATATAGATTATCCATATCATAAAAAAGAAGCAAATGATGTGCAATCCAAGTAGCCAGATTCAAGCACATATGTGATATAAAAATATATAAAAAAAAGATAAAGCATGCATAATTATATGCGCTCCAAACTTCTAGCCTCGAGGCAAATCTGAAACAGGGAAACTACTGAAACACACTCAGATATCATAACTGTGCATATCAACCAACACAAAAGGCTACTGACAACATGGGGAAGAACTTAAGAAGCTAATAATGACTACGCAATATCTACACAAAACACAAACAGTGAATAAAAATGGCAAAAATGTGAAGTACAGTTCATAAATTGCTGGCATAGCTTCTGATCACTATGTTTAAACAAATGCACAGCTCAAATACCCTATGAAGGAAATAAGAACCACAACTACTACAAAACGCTGTGCCAAAAAAAATAGCCTTTGCTGCAGGTAGAGAAGCAAACCCAAACCCTTTAGAGGGTTAACATCTGCAATTTGAAACTCTCACTACCAGTAGCCAACCCCAGCTATCTCAGTCATATACATTCAAATTACACTCAGTAGTAGAACAATGGGATAGAGAAGAGAGAATTTGGACCACATCTTAGGAGAAAGAGAGAGAGAGAGAGCGAGGACTCAACCGGGAGTTATAAATTCTGGAAATCCTCTATTATGATTCCCCTCCCGATGGACCTCATGGCCATCTAATGCCATCTTCGCAGAGAATCTTGCAACCTTAAAACCACACAAAATCAACAAATCCATCAAAGAAGTTCACATCATAAAAGAGTGCATATTGAATCAGATCATTAGAGAAGTGTCTGTCAAGTTCATTCAACACTCACCCATAGCCCTTGCACTTATGATGATACTGTGAACAAACAAAAAAGATTATCACTCAATATACATAGAATTATCTCCAAGGAAAAAACGAAACGACCAGAGAAAATGTAACCGGCTCACTCTAACTCAGCAGACATTCGTTCAAGATGATCACTGCTCCTGATATCAAGCTTCAAAAATGAAAACACCCCAACCAGAATGAACAAATTGGTCAAGTAACAAAGACTAAACAAAACGTGAAATAACTAATGGATAAAAGGAGTAAAATAAACAAAAACCAACAAAGTCAATTCAATTCCGTGCCCATCTAAATATGTCTATAGGTTTCCCACTTTAGGTTCACCATGTTAGATGAATCTGTGGCTTACAACTAATGACACCAGCAAACTATTGTTATGTGGATATCTCAACGACACTACAGCCATGGTTCGCATAGGAACTCAGATATTACTGTGTAGGCCACCCTGTATTTCATCAGGAATTGATCTGTAAGCCTGTCTACTTTCAGGTGTTGTATATTGATAGTAGTTGATTTAGCGATTGGTAGTTAGCAATTAGCAGCAACTATAGAATTAGCAAGTAAAGTGTTGTGATTATTTTTTGGATGGTTACTGATACTGCTGCATAGTGCACTTGTAAATTTTCGAGAATGCTTGTTTTCGTCAAGCCTGAGCTTAATAAAGGTACAACAACAACTACCGTGGAAAAAAATCCTCACCAAATTAAGAGTAGCCGCCTAGATTTTCCTTCACTGTCGGACTTCGCTTGTGAAACTGTGAACCTTCTCTAAACTTTCCAGATCCACAACCAAAAGCATCAACAAAACGAACAAATCATTCTGATTTCCTCGACTATTGATCGCAATGAATCTGCAAGAAAGATAGGTATGCTATTACGCTGAAACTGTAATCTGGAAGTGAGATAGAGAGCGAATTCAAACTAAAATTGGCTGCGAGATTGAGTACGACTTACTAAAAGGATTCCCGAAGACGAAGGGTGCATTGGAGCTGATTCAGAGGCGTAGATCTTCTATTTTGCTGAGAGAATCGAAGAGAACATAAACAAAGTCAATCCCATCAAAAAATGTCTCTAGGATCCCCAATTAGTTCAAACGTCTTCAAACTGAAATTTGCTTGCAGTGAGATTGAGAAAGACTTACGATACAGAGCTGCAATACTTCCTTTTCATCGAACAAATACATGGATACACCTGGAAGAAGAGATCAAAGAAACCCTTGTAAGTACCAAAACCAAAAAGAAAAATAAATTCACAAAAAGAGTTTACATGGACACCGTTGATAGCTGTCCCACTGCCGGCGACAGTCCATTTCTTCTTTGCCACCAACGAAGTCAGTTCCTTCTTCCTGATCGGCAACACCCAGAAATCAACATTAAGAAATAATCAGAATCCACCAAAACGAAAACGGTTGCAAACTAACTCACCATCTTTGGGACCATCACCGATGTCCATTGCCGACCTTCCCATCGCCCCCGATGTTGTCGTTCACACCGTCTTTTCTCTCCGTCCGAAGAAATCAATTACAGATGAATAGGATCGTCGTCTGGGAGACCTCCTCATTCGGAAAGCTGGCTGCTTCATCGCCGATTTTGGAGATTCGGGCGATCGCAAAGAGAGAAAGAGACATCGTCAGAGATGGATCGGTGAGAGAAGGAGATAACTCTGTGAGCGGAGGAGATAAAGATCGATGCAGAAGTTTTTCCTTCTTCGTCTTCCTCATTCTCAAAGCGGCAAAGAGAGAGAGATCCCTGACATCTCGAGACCTCCACTCAGAAATTAGCTCATTTTTTCTCAACAGGGATGATGAAGATGGGGATTATGTGAACTGCTCTTCAGATCGGCAGCGGGAATCATTGAAAACGAATCGATTGCAGAGGGGAGAACACGCAAACAACGACCACAAAAGAGAAGGTTAGATTGAAAACCGAAGCTAGAGAGCGAACCCAGAGCATAAAAGAGAGAGAAAGAGGCAATTATTTCGTTCACCTGGTACATCCGGTTGCGAAGAAAGAGGGAACATCAGTTTAGAAGGAAAAATGAGAGAGAGAGAGGGAGAGAGAGCTTCAACTCCTCCTTACGGCCATCACTTCACCGGCAAACCGTCACTTCCTCCTCTCCCCTCCCCCTGCCTTGATTGGGCAGAACCGGCCACTACTTCTTTCTCCTTCCAGGCTTCCACTCAATTGTTTTTTCCCTTCCTTACTCTTCCCTCGGTCGACGCCACTAAGCAATGTAAAAGGGACTGCAAAGCACCTTCTCCTTCCAGGGTTTTGAATCCGGTTCTCCCTCTCTCGCGGAAACCGCCGGCTGGCGTTCATCAGTGTTGAGGGCTCTTCGTCAGAGAGGGACTCTCAAAACTGGTTGGACTCGCAGAACCTGTGACTGTAGCTCTCCTCGGAAACCTTCCCAGATTCTCTGACCGCCTAAAACCCAGAAGAATAGAATCAATAGAGCTCTCCCTCTCTCGCGGAAACCGCCGGCTGGCGCTCATCAGTGTTGAGGGCTCTTCGTCGGAGAGGGACTCTCAAAACCGGCTGGACCCGCAGAACCTGTGACTGTAGCTCTCCAAAGAATCCATTGCATCGGCGAGAATATGCAAATAACGACCACAAACAAAAGAGAAGAAAAGGTTAGATCGAAAGCTGAGGATAGAGCGAGAAATCAAAGCATAAAAGAGAGAGAAAGAGGCCATTTTTCGTTCACCTGGTTCATCCCGGTGCGGAGAAAGAAGGAACGTCAGTTCAGAAAGAACCAGAGAGAGATTGAGAGAGAGAGAGAGAGAGAGAGGAGAGGAAGAGATGAGATGAGATGATATACTGTAGTGCTTTTGAAAGAACGGATAGATTGACAGGCTTTGCAGTGAATAAGAAAGAGGATTTTCTCATTTGCCTCTAATCCCCTCTCCAATGCCACTCAACCTCCATGTGAGGATTGCAATATCCGAGAAACTCTTGGGAACTGAAGAGCTTCACTCTTTCCAAACCTTCGCCATCATCACCAATAAGACCAGATGGGAAAAGTACACTCAATTTGAGGCCGGCGCGAAACTCGAAGTGAAGATAAGCATCCAGGGCAACGCGGCACACACAGCAATAACAGCGGGACCCAGACGCAGGCAGCCAACCAATCAGAAAACGCAGACGGGCCCAATCGCAGAGCTTGGACCAATGGGGGAAGGGTGAACAGTAAAATTGAGTCTAAATGAATAGTAATTCCGTGTCTAGGCGAATAGTGTATCATGTCTTTGCAAATAACTTTTTTCAATGGATATCATTGTATATATAATAATCAATATATTTTTTTATTCAAAATTTTGTAATTCTAAGTTAAAATAAAAAAGATATGACCTATTAAAAAATAAGGATTAGAAAAATAGGTTTGACTATTATCACTAAACTTGAATCTGAAGGTCCCAAATTTGAATTCATTCAATAACACATAACAATAGAAATCAACACATATCACTCTTATACGAGGTTATGAAATAATAATAGTTCGAAGCTAGCTAATTGCCCTAGAGCCTGGATCTTAATAGCTATCTAATTGGATGCATGTGTGAATAGTTAGAAAGATTATGGAAATAAGGAAGAGATCGACTGGTCAAATTAAACTCGACCGATAACTTTTTAGAGCAATAGAAAGCTAGCTAGCTCCACAATACCACCCCACGAATGCAAATATACGGTTGCTGGCAGAATCTCGCTCGATATGCAATCATATGGTGCACGCTGAAGCGTTGAAAGATCTGCACCTTATGGCTTATAGCATAAAAAAATTGGTGCATGCAGGAAATTATTACAGTAATAATTATATATATATATATATATATGTATAGTCTTCATCACTGATTTTCAAAAGAGTAGTTAAGATTCACTATATCTGCGACTCCAATAAACCGATATAGGTCCACTGTTCCCGTTTCTACTATCATATAATCTATCATCAGAAAAAAAAAACCCCAAAACAAATTCGAACCTTAACAAAGTGGTTAAAATTCATATATGAACCTATTCCAACAAAATTTTGATTATAAAATCACGTGTTCAATTTCTCCTGATCATGAATATTAATAATTTATTTAAAACACATAATACGACGGGTTTATGAAAGTGACTAAAATGTAAAATCTATATATGGAGCTCTCTCAATTACTCTCTCTTTTCTCTTTCGGTATTAGAGACTCCATAGCTTTGTTGATCAGATCTTAGTAGTAGCAAATTCTTAAATAAATTGTTAGCAATATCTTTTATTTTATATAAATTGTTGATTTTCTCCAGTCTACCGGTATATATATATATATATATAGTTAGGACATGAATGAATGCATGGTTTTGCATGTGGCAGTCTGAACTTTTCAGAATGGACGAAAGCTGGTGATGAATTGATAATTAACCTAGCTAGCTGGCAAATGTATCATTTACGTACCTACCAATGCATGAACGTGTGTAGTCGATCCATTTATTCAGATTGTATTGCCATTTTTAATGCATTCTTGCACTTTGTGGGAGCTGAATATACTCGATATCTCTGCTTGTATATATTAAAAAAAAAAAATTGGACGCTGTGATGAATGAGGAATTTGAATGGTGTGCCTAGCTAGAAATTATGCAAACGGGTATCTATAAGATATATAATGACAAAACATGCGTTGGAATTGTCTCATTTTAAATTTCGTGGCCTGAGAGTGATTCTAGGAAGGTCATTTTTGTCATTGCACCCAGTTCTTTTTATATATTAAAAATGTTATCATTGGAGTTTGAACATTCGTCAATTCAATGAAGAAAGAACATTGTAACCAACTATGCTACATTGTCTTATAGTTATTTCTTTGATTAAAATCTAGAAATATGTTTGGCGATAATGCTTCTATATTTATATTTTATCTTAAGTTATTTATATTTTATGAAAAGAGATTATTTCTGAAATTGGAACTCAAGTAACATTCATTCAAACATATTAAATTGAATATGTGTGGTTTAGTTTAGACAAAATATAAAAGTGTAACCAATACATGGACCTTTGTGATAAGTATATTCATTTTTTGTGACAAATATACACATAATATAATGATAAAAATGAAAAATGAGAGTCTCATTTCAAATTCCATGGTATGAGAGTGATCCTAGGAAGCTCTTTTTCACCATTGCACCCAATTTATCTTTACATTATGGGTAGATTGTCACAAATAATTACTATATTTGTCACAAAGGTCGTTGTTTTGGCTACACATATGTATTTTGTCTAAACTGAACCATACATATGATACAATTTAATATTTAATATTTTAATAAATATTATTTTAGTTCCGATTTCACAATTAATCACTTTCTATAAGATATAATAATTTAAGGTAAAATACATTTCCTACTTGGTTGAAGAAGCTCTTTATATAAGATACATTAAAACAAGCTCTTTCTATAAGATATATTTAATTTTTTAAGATTTTTCATTTGAAATTTCGTGAATTGAGAGTGAAAGTAGGAAGAGTAAGTTTGTCATCACAATTATTTATCTACTCCATTGAAAAAAGTATCAATATCAAGATTTTAACCATGGTATCTTCAAACAAAAACAATAATCATAACCAATTACACTAACTAAATTTATTTTATCTACTTGAATTGTAAACATACACTAAGTAAAGTTTAATTCGTGATTTATAATTTTCTAAAAAAAGCAAAGTTTAATTCGTGATTTATAATTTTCTAAAAAAGCAAAGTTTAATTCGTGATTTATAATTTTTTATAACCTATACAATTTCGGATTATCTTAAAATTTCAACCAAAATTTCATTGCTTAAAACAATGCATATCGAATTGTAGCATTGAATATGCAAAAACCATGTTAGACGGGTATGCGCCATCTGGCGAGTTTAGGTTAGATGAGTGAATGGGGGCTTATAGTGGTCAAGGCGACCGAACCCCTGCTATAGGTAGCCTTCCTAGATAAAACTCGGGATGAAACCTCGATGTGGATGGTGGATAGTGTCCATTGAAATGAGCCATAAGCTTAATGCCTCAGATACGATAGCCTAGATCGAGGTGACTAGAACATGGATTTAGGGGAGGCGTACTCAGAGGCGTGTGGATAATGACGAAGGCCCATGGAAAAGAGCTCACTCACCACATTCGATAACCCTAAGTATCTATACATGCATAGTATCCCTAAACTAGGGGGAGGATTAGTTCCCCGAAGTACCTACTTTTAGCTATGAATAACCTCTAGACTGGTGTTTCCTCATATCCTCCACTCAAAACCTCAAAAACCGATTACCTAATTAACAACAAGGTGGGCAGTAGGCTAGGGTACTAGGATCCGAGTAGAATACGACCTTGATTACCACTATACGACAATGCCGTCCTAGGTTAAACTTGGCTTAGGATGGGATAGTTGTTGATACGTGCAAACCACTAAGAATAACATGCACGGATTCAAGTGATCAAGATTTTTGGCGCCTTTGCCGGCGATCCTTGGTAACTAGTAGAAAACCATTTAGTTGTTAGTTAGTTTTTACCTTGCTTTAGGTTTTTGTTTTGTGTTGTGTTTGTGTTTGTGTTGTTGGTTTATTTCGTTTTGTTTTTGTTTTTGTGCTTTCGTTTTGTATTATGTTTTCATATTTCCGTCTTTGTTTGTATTGTTATTTGTCGCTTTTGTACATCACGGGTTGTTGAGGTTGTGTTTTGTAGCATCATTGTATGCAAAGAAGGGATTCCTTTGAAGTATTACCTCTTGATTCTGAAACCGACAGAACCCTTCGTAATCTAAGAAGAGTTACAAGACCTCAACCTCCACCAATGGCGGAACATCAAGCTCAAGTACCACCGAGGCCAAGAACAATGGGTTCTTACTCTAGGCCAAGTGTGCACAATGTCCAATCACCTATTCTTCATCCGACATTACCCAACAGTGATTATGAGATCAAGTCGGGCACAATATCAATGCTTCAAAGTTCAGTTCAATTCAATGAGCAGAGCCGTCCCATGATATTTGGAGGCCCTGTTCGAAAAATTTAACATGTGACCCCTAATTTTTTTCTCAATAAATTTATTAAAAATAAAATTATTAAATAATTATAAAGTACATAAGTTCAGAAAATGATTTCAAAATGAATAAACAATCTCACTTCATGTTTGACCAAGAAACCAAGACCAAATTCTCACTCCTAGCGGGGAGGGAGAAAAGTAAATATGGAGGGAACAGAAAATGGATATAGAGCAAAAATTGAATGGGGAAATGAAAATAATATAAATTGATCGAGAGGTGGGTGCGGGTCTATTTAATGGATCGTGTAGGCCCTATTCCAAAATTAAGACATGATCCAAATTGACCTTTAACTCTAATAAAACTAAAATGATTATAATACCATTATTAAAAATATAATATCTTTATTTATTTTAAATTAAAATTATCTTTTATCTCTCTGATTTTCGTATTCTCCATGAGATCCTTTTCAATTGTTATTATGGCTAAAATTATCTATTAAATTCGTCATCATATTCATAATCTATCAATCATACACTAAAAAAACCCTGCAATATTCGATCGCTAACTAACGAATCTAAGTGGAGGCCCCTAATATTCGGAGGCCCTGTGCCGAAGGGCGGGCCGACACACACTCTTGGCCGGCCCTGTCAATGTGATAATGAGTGAAGATGCTCATGCGCATGTCAAGTCATTTTATGAGTAGACGGATGGGATCAAAGTGAATGGGGTTCCTCAAGAGGCTATCCGACTAAGGTTATTCGCATTTACCTTGAATGGAGCAGCAATGAAGTGGTTGAATAATCAACCACATCACTCAATCACCTCATGGGATGATTTATGTAACAAGTTCATTGCAAGGTACATTCCACATTCTAAGACGGCTTTGATGAGAAGTGAGATCACTATATTCCGTCAAGAGGAGGATGAACCATTGTTTGAAGTAGGGGTGGAAGTTTGGGTTGCGGGTTGTGGATAATCCGCAAACCGCACCAACCCGCACCTATTGTGGGTAACCATACCAACAAGTTGTGGGTAGTGGGTTGGGTGTGGGTGGTAAACTAACGATTTTTGTGGTTAGTGGTTATCCACTACCCACCGCGGATAACACACAAAATCCACAATAACCACACTAATTATATTTATTTAGTGAATTAACTTTATGATATAATAGTATGTGAAAAGTGCGAGGATAAAAATT